CCTTCAATAGGGGTGAGGGCCTACAGCAGTGTTTCCCAGCAGCCCACGGGGCACTTACATTAATAAAATATATTAATACAAATTTTCCGTGGCACAGCTCTAGAGTTATTCCCCATTCCCATACTTAGAAGCTCATTGTAGCTCATTGCTGGGGCAAAATTTTGCAGTGCAGCTGTGCAGAGACGGACAAACTGTGCATTCCCCACAGCCAACACATGCGCCACAGATGAATTTCCTTCTGCTCAGCTGGTTCTCCCTCTCCCCCACAGCCAACACGCACACAAGTCTTCTGTGAATAGCTCATCGATGCGGCTTACTCATTAGCGCTAGGACCTGGAGAACTTTCTTCTCATTATTCCAAAATTCTCGTGACGTACCAGGAAGCACACCGGTGTGCCGGTACTGGCCTAGAGTGCCTTTGTTTAAACTGATTAGGAGTTTGAGCCTGATGCCTGTGTTACCAACTATATGATCAGCAGAAGCTACAGCTACATTTCCTTAACAGGAAAGACTCGGGTAAAAAATAATACAATAAAGACCTGTGCTTCCAGTAAGAATCATAGCAAACGTATTTGCAAATTAAAAAAGGGACAAATTTTTAAGGTCACGTTATGCTGATGCAGAAAACAAAGTACACTTTACAAGCAGGTACATATTACTCAGAACCAAGGATTTCTTCCCCCCTCTAGCAACTCAGCATCAGGAGGAGTTTATCAGGAAACCTGGAGCAAGTGGTGTTCATGTTCAGCTGGAACAAAAGAACGGCTTTGTCAGGGTCTACGTTCATTCAGTTTGTCTCCCCATCACATACCCTCCATCACAGTGCATGCATATGCAGGGCTGCTCCTGGTAAGAGTAAAGCAGATGCTACTCAAATTCTGCTACAGAGTCTTTTTATAATTATAACAATTTTTTTAAGATGACGATAAACAGGGTCATCTGTGATAGTGCCCAAAGCAGCTTCCAGGGCATCACATGAAAAATGAGGAGAGACAGTAGCTCTGTAATTGTTGCTCTCAAATTGCTCCTGGCTGACCAGCCTCTCATGCTAGTCCTTTTTCCCTTTGAAGCTTCAAGGCATGTGCCTGGCATGGTTGTGATGCAGAGAGAGAGGCAGGTAAAAAGGGGAAATTTAGAAAAAAGTATCCTTGAATGACAGGATGGGAAAAAATCTTGACACTATAATCAAAATTGGCAAATTTGACACTGTTCAGGTGTAACAAAGGAACATCGTCTAGGGAAGGACAAACACTGCCTTTCCTAATAATACATCTTCGTCCAGTACAGTTCTCTGCTATACGTCGAGCCACTGTAGCAAAACAATAGTGTCTGTAGGCGTGGTGGCAGTGACAAAGTTAGGGCTGGCATCTGTATCTACAGTGACTACCATTCAAAGGGAAAAGTCAGTCTTTAATTAGTCTCCCTCTTCCTCTGTCATCCCATAGACATATGACCACAGGGGGCTAGTTACATGTTGCTCCCTACTCCTCTATTGTGCTCCCTTGTGTGCTTCAGCATATCGAATACTTGGATCCCTCCCTTACCATTCTGTTATGCCGATTCTTCCTTCACGACCTGCTGACATGGGGCCCTGTTGAGATGGGCACTGTACAAGTAAAAGAGAAACAATCCTGATATACTGACTTTACTGCAATAAAATGAATTCTGTTCTTAGAGGGCCCCAGGTGAAATTAATTCAACCCAATAAAAAGCAAGCCTTTTAAGAAGCAATCAGTGTATACAAGACATTGGTAACACCAGCACATTTAAAAGTATTGCGTAACTAGCTTCAAGATGTTGGCACCATTTAAAAATAATGAAATACTGATGCACCATCTGATTTCTCTTTTCTTCACCTCTTCTTTTTGCTGTGCATCCCTGGGCATATATTCCTCAATCTCATTTCTGGTTTATAAACCTTTTACACTCCAGTATTACTTTTCCCCTCAGATCATTCCTTTTCCCTCCCCATCTTCCATTTCCCTTCAAGGAACCTTTTTGCAGCCACCCTCCATCTTCAGTTTAATAATTTTCCATTAGGATGTTTTTTGTTCCTTTGAACTCTCCTCCTTTTATTCATTCTTCCCCAGGCACGTCACACTTCCTCCCCCTCACAAAAAAACCCTTTTGTGTTCCTTGTTCTCCTGCTTCATTAAAGGTATGCCTGCACTCTGGGTTAGTCTCCTTAGCTTGGGTTTTGGTAGTGGTCTGGCCACAGCCACAAGGGCTAAATTACCTTGCCGAGAAGTAAGATGCAACTGCTATGTACTTATTCCAGGCTCGAAAAATCAGACCAGTTTCTTAGATGTCTAAGGAAGGATTTAAGTGATGAACATTGGCATCCATATTTGAAAGGCCCCACACACAGATGGAGTGCCTCGAGTCTTCAATTTAGCGTAATAAAAGGATAAGGAACTACTTATGATCACAGCTTATAAGTAGCTATATGGGGAACAGAATTTGATGATGGAGAGATTTTCAATCTAGCAGACAAACACGTAACATGAATCAATAGCTAGAAGGCAAAGCTACACACTTTCAGATAGGAAATATGGGACGTAACAGTGAGAGGCTGCTGTAACTCACCAAGAGTTTGGTGAATTCTCCATTATTAGGGATTCTTAAAGTTAGACTGGGTGGTTTTTTTCTAAACCATCTGCTTTGATTCAAACAACAATTAATTCAGGGGAATTCCATGGCCTGTGCCTGGGGCAGGTCAGGCTAGATGATCACAAAAGTCTCTTCTGGCTTTGTAAAAGAAGGAAAAAAAAGCCTATGTTTAGCTTGTAACAGTTCTCCTTAGGAGGATGGTACAAAAAAAGTAGAGCTTTATGAATACATATGCAACCCTCCCAAATCATTTAAAGTGAAAAGCCTTGGCACATGGGTGTCAATGATATGCTGCATGTATTGTACCTACTCTGAAAAAATGAAGAATTTGAGTCTGTGGGATCAAAACTCCTGGATTTTCACAAGCAGGATAGGAGTTTGTTGGTTTGCAAAGAAAAACAGATAATCCTAGCAGTGCTTAAAAAAAAAATCCAGCAAAGAGCAGCAGTTATAAATTACAGGGAAGTTTTCAACAGCAGTTAGCAAAGGTCTAAGGAATCAACACAGGGACTTATTTTAATGCCATGGGCCGTGGACAGGCAAAACAATTATACTGAATTCAAGTGGGAAGGAAGGCTTACCACTTGCTAGTGCATTTCCACTGTCGGTTACACACAAAGCAGTTATAATGCATTGGCTTAAAATCCAGTAAGTCCACCCTGCTTCCCTTCAAATGGTATAACTTTCTGATTTGTCCATACCCCTGGGGACAGAGCTTTCCACTGTCCCCTTCCCTATCCCCATTTTCCCAACAGATGCTTTTTAAAACTCCTTCTCCTCATCCTCCAGTCCCTTGTAGGCACCCTGACTTCTCACTTCTCCCTTTATAAACCCCAATTGATGAAACTAGTATCAGACACACTTTCGGGTGCTATCTAGCTATTCTAGTCCCATGTTACCCAGGAGGGAGTTTCCTTGCTTCACAGCAATCAGAATTCATTGTCCAGGTCTGTCACATCCCCACAACAGCAACGAGCTCCTCAGACCTTGCCAGACCTGCTGAGACACTATGGTGGACTTCAGTGATGGCAGGAGGGCCGTTGGCACTCAGACACATGAAGAGTTGGTCCCTTGATTTATTCTATTCCAAACAAGTTCATCACTGGCTAATTTTTCAGCAATGGATAGACAATTTATAACACAGTGCTGACTATTTCATTCCGGATTTTCTGTAGATTACACACTACTATTATGATATGTCATAGCCCTGAAATTTGTTTGAGTTGGTCTTTAAAACTTAGCATTTCATAATGTGAATACAAACATACAAGTGACTTAGGAACAACAGTGATTATGAAGGGGGCACGTGCTTCTAAAACAGATGGGTGCTTTTGAAACTCCCACCCAATGTTTTAGCTGCTGAAATGGACTATTGCTGACAACTCTTAAGATTTCAGGGTTTTTTTTCCTATACATCGTAATGGCCTAGTCCATAAATGAAGTTTATTTCCAAATCAAGACAAGCATTTATTACAAAAACACTTAACCTTCTACACAGTCTTGAGGCTGGCACTGATATATAGTCATCATATACAAATGACTGTCTTCCAGAATGAATAATTTATAATGTAAGGTATTTGAGCTGTTTACTTTTCTTATTTAATGCAAAACCCACATTTCAGGAGTCTGAGTATGGCTTTCTGCGTGCGGCCTGGTTGACATCAGGAAGTCTGCAATTGGATGTTGTGGTCTCAAATTCAGGAGAGAGGACACCTTGGAGCAGGAAGGTCCTGACACCAGCAATCCAGTTCTGAATGTGCACTCCATCTCCACGTACCTTCTGTTTAGCTTTGGCTCAGCAAATTCAACAGTTATTTTGAAACTACTGTATGTAAGGCTCTTTTCTCCCTTATGAGACCCAAAGCTATTTGAGATGCTAAACAATTGGCTGCTTAAATCACGTCACAGTTGCAGCTTCTGAGCATGGCTGTAGTGCAGGCTTTGCACAGATAAACATGGATCTTTGTCATATAGAAAACCACTTTAAGCAATCTTTCAATACAAGCAGTTTCACAGAAAATATTAAATTATTCACGTTTACCTCTAAAAATATTGCTTAAAAACTCACTAACAGAAACATTTTCTTCAAATGGGAAGTTCTGTCCCAAACACTGTTTGGCAGGTAGCAGTCTTTTACTGAGATAGTATTGTTGGTTTTTTTGGTTCTCCCTCTAATCTATAAATGGTCCTCAAGGGAAAAAAAGCATGACACCAATATAAGAAGAAAAGTGAAAATGATTAAAATTTATCAGTTCTTAATGCACAAGGTTTTATATTTTAACTACCTTGTACCACATGTAAAATGCTAAATTATTACTAAAATAAAAAGCAGCAAACAACAGGAGACAAGAATATTACACCTGTTAAAGACATTACTGAATAAAGCAACACAAGATACAAAGAAATATTTTATTAAAATCATCTGGATAATACATGAAGTGTAACTAATACTATGTACTGGTGCAGAAACATGTCTAATAAAGCAGAAAAGGACACGTGATATATGTGAACAGAAGACATGTCAAACTGGTTTTAATGTACATATAAATATAAAAATTTAAAAAGGTGCTTGACAGTGATATATTAAATGGCTGTAATTTTGGCTACAATTAGATTATATAATTTTATATTCTTTAAGCAGTCTTAAGAGCAGTGCACATGGTGAATTGCTGTTGATTGAAAAAGATAGACTTTGCTTTCTTATAAAATGAATAACTGCATTTCTTCTGGAAATATCTTAGGCACATGCAAAAGAAATTAAAAAAGACTTAAAAACCCTGCCACAAACCAGTGACTTATTTGTTCTTGGCTGCCAGGGGCTTACGACTGATCTTCTTTGACTTGTCATTGTTCTTCTTTGGAGGCTCGGGGTTTGCCTGCATGTGTCTGCCATACAGACTGCAAGGAAATGAGACAAAGAACATTTGTGATGCCATCAGTAAAATAAAGGCTTTCAACCTGCAGCATGTTAAAACAATACATTTACTCAACCAAAAGTTAAGAAAGCAGAGGGTCATTATGTTTTTTCTGCCTCCATATGCTAGAAATTCCTAATAGTCTTCAAGATGCAGCTTGAAATATTAGCTTTCTGTGTCTCATCAGGAGATTAACATTAGGAAAACTGGGGTTTAAGGAGAAGATAGGAAGAATACGTTTTGCCTTCAGAAACTAGCAACCTTTATTCAGCACTTACGGCACAAAGGCTTGGAAGGCTGAGAATGTGTGTAGCTAAGCCGACAATGAGAAAAATTGGGTCGAACTGGAGAGACAGAATACCCATTTACAGCAAAGCGAGCATCATGCCTAACCATAAAACCCAGGGGCTTGATAATGTGACAGAGAGCAATGGTGTCACAGTCTTCTCTGGCTGTTCACACATGATTGATAGTACTGGGATAGCTACCAACACATCACTGCCACATTAATAAGTATCACTGATTAAATGTTGACGAAGTATCCTACAATTAAGATGGCTAGCATTCAGTGCAAAGCTAAACAGACTACATGGCTGAGAAGATTTAGCTGAATAACAGGTAATAATTAGGACTTAATTTATGAGCAATCCTGATTAAACCAAATTAAAAGCTTACCCAGAATAAATACAGCTCAAACCCTAACTTCTCTTATTGCCATGAACTGCTTTTTAGAGCTGTCCTTTGCAGGGGTGTTAAGGTGTCTAGCAGGGAAAGGACCCGTAGCACTGCTTTCTCTAACTCAGCTGTGAAATGAGGAATGTTGACACATCTACTGAAATCCCTTGGAAAGGTGTCCCCTAATACCTCCTCTATCACTCCTCTGGGCTTCAGGGCACCCTCCCTGCTAGCACACTGCCAACCAACTTGTGGAAATTAATGCGTCTGATTACTCTGAAAGCTGTATTCTGTAACAGTCCTTGAATATGTGTAGTAAGTTGTGTTCCAGTATCTGCATCTTTTGCTCTGGGAATACAGAACAGAACAGGGCTGTCCAATTCCACAGTGGCAGGGTGCTGCAGCTGGTGCTGGTGTGTGGCTTCTGGGCAGTACACTGTATGGGTCACATGTGGTGGGGGTGGCCCTTCACCATACGGCATGGGCCAGCAGCATGCAGGATTTCACAAATTTCACAGACATTAGGGCTGGAAGGGACCTTGCAAGATCATCAGGTCCAGCCCCCTGCCCAAGGGGTATGAAGTCAACAGGGGTCAAATCAATTAGCCAGCAAGATAAGCATCTAAGAGTTTCTTGAAGGTATCCAGAGTAGGCGGCAGCACCACTTCTGGGGGGAGTCTATTCCAGACTCTGGAGACTCGGATGGTAAATAAGTTTTTCCTTATGTCCAGTCTAAAACGGTCTTCCAGCAGTTTGTGACCATTAGACCGTGTCTTCCCTTGGGGTGCCCATGTGAGCAGACATCCTCCCAGTTTCTGATGCACACCCCTTATATACTTATAAGCTGCCACCAAGTCCCCCCTGTCCCTCCCCTGAGGATTCCCACACCACACATGATGAACTGGCAGCACAAAGCCCTCCCTCCTCCCTTTCCCTCCTGCAGGCTCTGCTAGTGGCACACAGCCCCCCGCCTTCTTCACTGGCAGCATGCATCTCTCCCTGACCCCTGGGGTCTTTCTTATTGAGCGGCAGTGGGAGAGGTGGTTGCTGGGGCCCACAGGCTGCATGCCCCCAGTTGGACAACGCTGGAATAGGATACAGAGTTTGAGCCAAAGATACTGCTAGGCTTTGTACACACACCTTTGGCAGAGCCAAAATTGATGTTCAGATCTATAGGTCAGCACTGACCTCCAGAGATGAGACCCAGGATTTTCCTAATACCTTAAGTGCATGGAATACAGGAAGCTTTACCTACATCATGTGTGTTGTAGTGGTCAAAACACCCACCTGCCACTGAAAGTCTGCACAGCTAGCAGATCTGCCTGACTCCTGCCATCAGTGAGGACAAGAGGCAGACCTGTCTGCTATTTGTCCCAACTCTGCCTATCAGAAATATAATGAGCAGCAGGTTCTGCAATGTTCCAGAGGCTTTTAAAGTCTGTTATCACGTCTCAGTTCTTGTGGGCCAAGATTAAGTGTAGTCGCTGTACTGATCTAATATCTGAGTTGAAATGGATTTAAATGGCAGTGTGTAGTGGAGGGTGTACCCCTGTTCATATGCGGATAGGACTCCCTACAAGAACTTCATAGTTGCTCCCACGGCTGTTGGCTAAGGGCAAGTGAGGCTTGGGTAGCCGAACCCCAAGCCTTTGGGCTTGGGCCTGCATGTAGGATGCCTACTGATGGATATGGAAGCATCTGAAGCCCCAGCCTGAAAAATCTCGGGTGGAGGATACTTGCCGGTTGCAGCGCCACATATGGTGTTTGAATGACTGAGCTTTGCTAAGTCAGAAGGATTCAGAACTGATCTGGCTAATTTGACCTGTAACATGAAAATTTTTGTCTATATCTATATATAAGCATACCTATACGTATAGGAAATATGCCTATATATGTAGGCATGGCCTGACCTGCAGTTCAGTGATGGGCACCCTTCTAGGCACAGAAATGACAACTTCTCTACAAAGAAAAATAATTACAATCTAACACAAGATAAGGTGTTTCAGTGTCCTATAGTTGCACCAAAAAGTCCATAACTTTGCCCCCAGTGAACAGCTCAAGCTGCCTGACACCACACTGGGAAATCACTCCAGGACTAGGTGAGCAAACAGGCTCTCCTTCCCAAGCCATCTGTAGCCTTGACAGATCTGTTCCATGACCAGAAAGGAAAGATGGAGCAGGCTCTATGACACACAATGTGGGAAAAACAGGTGATGGATCTACATAACAAATGTCCCACCAGCCCTGCCTTCAAATACCTTTAGCACACATGGAATGGGCTCTGTTGTTGCAGTAGCTGTCTCTCCCCACTACTGGGACTCCTTTCTGCTTTTGAAAAAGGGCAAGATTATCACCTCAAGATAGATGTGAACTTCTTCTACACCTTTTGTAGGACATTAACTCTGAGCCTTTCCCATCTTCTCAGTCCTTTCCGCAATTCTGCACCTCACAGGTGACAGACTAGTTGAATCTCCTACCTAGTGCAGTGATGTAGAGGACAGATTGCCATATGCCTATCTACTGTATAACAGTCTAAAGCTTTATGAATGCTATGCACCAGGAAACCCAAATATGGTCTGAATGTAGAGCTTGGTTTTAGCCTACCTTTCTACACCCGCAAAAAGGATTCTTACCTTTCCAAAAAGAGCATCACAGAAAACACTGGGCTCTCCAGTTTACCCAGGTCCATAATAAAATGTATCTAGTAGGCACCAAATGGGATTCAACATAAATACAAATGCTTCTGAATTCTCACACTATGTGGTACTGAATACTTTTTGACAAAGAGATTTTATCTACCTCTCACTAAAGCATACTGAAGTCCTAAAGCACAAACTCTTGTGCATCTGCTTTAACATTCATTCCAGAGTCAGGAGCACACTGCCTTTCTCAAATCCATGTCTTCTACAGAGGTATCTGGATCACATTTTAGAGTGAAATGGGAGGGGAGTTGGGAAATTCATTCTTCACTTCCACCATACTACATATTCTAATTTTGTGTCTTACTGATTTGCTGGCCACTGCTAAAGGTTTACTGTTCTGCAACTAGTTTTCCTTCAAGGAAAGTACAGTTAAAAACTAACCCATTCCTTGACCCTGCAAATACTTTAAGGACTTGCTTATTGGCAATTAGGAACCAGATACCAAGTAAGGAAGAGTCTCTATGGTCAGTGAACAATGACCGTTAGTTACTGCACATGCAAATTTTCTACCTCATCACCCTTAACTTAGTATGCATCAACTATTAATGAAAATATCCAATAAGGACTTTCCTTGGGTTTGGAGCATATAGATGAGTTTTGCTTGTTTTTTCTTTTAAAAAAAAACTTTGCTATTGGAATATTTCCACATTGAACATAATATAAAAATTCCAGCTGTAATTAAGGAAATACTCATTAGAATTAAGGAAATACTCATTAGAAAGCACTCTTAGATAAAAATGATCAAAGCATTGTACAAGAGCCACCTCATTTTCAGCTACACACAACTGATTAGTTGAAGCATGCTAGCAATAATTTTGTGATGCTGAAAAGTTTCACAGACGAAAAATGAAAACGTGCTCAAATCTGCAAACAGCCACTGGTAGCTAAATAGCACATTTACTGGGCCATGGATTAGGCTAAAATCTCACAACCAGTGAGTGTTTCTCTCAAAGGGAATAGGAAGGATATGTGGAGGGAGAACACTGTATGAGCATCACTACACAGCACTGACTCTACCCTTATCCCACAATATCTTCCTCAAGTTAGCGAAGGGCCAGAGATGAGAGGAGCAAGAGCTGTGTAGCTGAGGGGCTTGGAGAAGCTGTGTGTAAGGATTTCTAAACAGGTTGGTCTGGGGTTCAAAACTGTTATGCTTTAGAAGTGCATTACATGCATTGTTCCCTTCTAAATAGCACTACTGGGGTTATTTCTTTCTTTCTCTCTTTAAAGATGGATGAGGCTGCATATTTACAAATCTGTACACATTTTCTGGTTAAGTATTTAAGACTAGGCTCTGGCATTTTTAAACAGAAAAAAAAAACACTCATGAAAAACTACCAATAACTAGCAAACCTGTTGCAAGGTAATGTATTTGGCACAAAGCCAAAGTAAATGCAAATGTATTATTCACATTTTTACTATTTATCACAAAATGTCTTATCTTTAGAACTGCCAATGGTCCTGTTGTACAACGTGTCTCCTGTTAAACGTTTACTGGCTAGCGAGGACAGACTGCTGATCCGTGAGATGTCAGAGGCTTGCAACAGGGGTGATGAGCAAAGTGCACGTCTACAGTGAAGAGGCTGGTCAGAACAATGACGTTCTG